ATTCTACTTATATAGCCAGTATATCAGTATATATTTTAAAAAGCAGACAAATCGGCCCGTAAATACGTTAGATATAAAACTTTTATTTTTTTGTCGTGGTGGACCTTCCGCTGGAAACACCCATTTTCAATTCTTTACGTACATATACACATGTATGTATGTACATCAACATTAACACATCACGGAGTTTTGATTCTAACCTCACCCTGCAGCGGAAATACTAGTACAGAACTAGTGAGTTCACTAGTTTTCGGGAGTCGAATACCGGTACCTTGCAAATCTACCAGCCATGCTTTCTACTGTCGCATTTAACATGGAGTTGTCCTAGGAGGTGACAATTGACTCCCGCTGCGTAACTTTTCACTAGTACTTGTAGTAGTAACATGTAACCTGTAACCGAACCACTTTTTTTCGTTGTGCACTTCACAGATACTTTTTCATAATTAAAAAAAAAAACGAAAATAAAGATTTTAAATTATATGTTCTGCATAGTGAGATTTGAACTCGAACACTTTCGGTCGCAATTAATTGCAGCCAGCATCTTTGCGCACCCAGCTACAGGCACAACATAAATAAATAATATAAAAAAAAAACTGTTTAATATACAACGCTTTTATAAATGGACTAAAAAGTAGAAAATAATATTTCTCAGTCCCATAGAATTTGTTTTGATAACTTTTGATTTTGAAATTTTAGCAAAAGTCGTTGTAACCAATTTATGAGATTGAAAATGAAAAGCGTGGGGCGCATATAATAGCCACCTGAATTGATATGAAGGGTAATATATGTTCATATGTATGTGGATATATGAATAATGACCGCTTAAAATCGATCTCAAATTTGTACTTTCGCTGAAGAAATTTTAGGTCTATGTTATGTAGTTTGCCTATTGTCAATTAAATATAATGCTTTGTATTGCATGCGTCCCACGCTTTTCATTTTCAATCTCATAAATTGGTTATAACGACTCTTGCTAAAATTTCAAAATCAAAAGTTATCAAAACAAATTCTATGGGACTGAGAAATATTATTTTCTACTTTTTAGTCCATTTATAAAAGCGTTGTATATTAAAAAGTTTTTTTTTTTATATTATTTATTTTCTACTTTTTTGTCTTGTCTGTATAAAATTTTGCGATAGATATTAAAATAATTCAACGATATTAATAGAAAGGTGCACACACATGCATTTACATATGTATGTACACACAAACGAGCACCAACCCACCATGCAAAACATGAGAAATAGGCGACAATCGTCCATGGCAACAAATTGGCGACTCGCCGATTTATTGCCGTAGGGAGAAATCGGAAACATTATTTCTTTTATGTCATTTTAGGAATATGTTTTCAAAAATTCCCAGACTGATGAACTCCGCGTCAACAGGATTCTTCAAAAACATATAATTTATGCCCAAGAAAGGGTTGAAAAATTAGGAAGCTCCATAGAGACGAAAATAGTTAATTTCGTTTAAAAATTATAAGTTTGAGTTCAAAAACAAATGAAACATTGAGAAATAATAAAATTGTTGCAAGAAATTATTATTTAAATATCGCTTGTAGCAATCATAAAACGACTCATTCAGGTAATAAGAAAACGACTCGCCCAGGCGAGTTGCCTGTGGCGGACGTTTTAGAGCGACTGGTAATAAGAAATCGATACGATGGCGATATTGCCGGCAATAAATTTGTTGCTTAGGGCGACAAGTTTTCTTATGTCCGGCAACAAAAATTGTCTGGTGGGAATTAATTTTATTTAAAGAAATGGCGTGTCGTCTATTTCCGCTGTAGCGAACGTAGTACATAGGCGACATCTAGATGTCATCTACCTCGCCCTATTCACTACAGATGTCGCCCTATGCACTATGCTTTTTTATAGGAACTTTTCAAAGCAAAGGTTTTATGGTGTCGGACACACAACATTGAAAGTTTCTGGATCCACAACATTGAAAGTTTCTGGAGCCACAACATTGCAAGTTGATAAAAGCGTTGTAATAACGTTGTAAAATGTGCTTTCAAATGTTCGCTTTGAATCAAGCCAGGCAACGATTTGTTCAAATTTAAACTTGTCTTTGCTATTGTCTTTGCTATTTATTTTCCTGTGATCGAACGTACAAAAGCTGCAGCGTGGCGTTGTTTGAAATTTTATTATTGGGCTGAACTGATTCTTGATAATTTTAACGAAATTGTCACTTTAACGCGCTATATCTCAGTCGTTTGTGTATCGATCGATTTGAAATTCACACAATAAACTACAAACTATTGCAAAGAATTTAAGTTTAACACCACTTCTTACTACTCACTACAAATAAAACTACAGGTTCATAACTTTTTTATGAGAATTAAGAGGGTGTTTGTTTTCAAATGCAAAAGCTGTGTTATAATTAAATTTTTTGTTTTAAAACAGTGTTGTAGATGACTATGTAGGGAAGTTTTTGCGAAAGTTTCAGAATTAAACATCAAGTAGTTGCAAAGTTATAACATATTATTATGACTCACACGGTGAGCAGATTAGGGCGCTGCGCTCTAAAAGGCTTTATAACTCGGAAAAGTAAAAAAAAAATCCTTTTTTATTAGTGATTTATATGTTAAAAGACTTGATCTTTCGATTGAGATAACTAAAAACAATATTAAAAATTACCATAATTCAGAAAAATTACAAATAAATTTTCGTTCAGAATTTTCACCACGAAAATGGGAAAATTTTGGAAAACGCTCAGTGCCATCGCACAGCCCGTACAAAAATCTATAGAAATCATTGTTTTCGAATCATTTTTCATTTTTCCTATTTTCTGTTTGCTTCGCAGCTAGTCGAACAGTAGCTTGTTTTGCACCGCTCAGGGCGCAGGGACATTTGACGTGAATTGCCCCCAAAATAATTTAAGAAATAGAAATGTTATGTAAAAAGGGGTATTTACATATGTATTGCTTTATTTTGGTACTTTTAAGTCCGATATTTGCGTGGTGGTCACACGAGGGAAACATAACATGGATAAGTATTCAAAATGTATTATTTGTATTTAGATGATAAATAACAAATTCCTTTATGTAATAAGGGAGCACAATTATATTAAAACGGCCAATAACCTTTAGAAAGTGCAATATGTAACCAATATCTCGATTTATTACTACCTGGATCATAATATGCTATTGGAACTAGTAATGTAACTAGTACGAAAGCGACAATTGTCTCCGAACCCGCTGCAGGGCACTTGTTATTAATTTGGTTGGCACATATTGAGTTCACTTTAAATTTTCATCCACAAAATCACTATTCGCGTGCGGCACACAATATTGGACAAATAAGAAGTCACTTCGGAATAAGTAGACAAATAATTCAATTACAATTGACAGTTGGGTGGCGAGTTTTAGATTCTGCAATCAGAAGAAAAAAGTAAAATATATATACATACTTAAAGATACATACATACGTATAACCATTAAAACATACATACATATATATATTATTACAAATAAAAGAATATTTCTTGATTCGTGTGAAAGTATACTAGAAATTCTTGTGTTAAAATCTGGGATTGTGGTGGTCTCTAAGCATTTTTCTTAAGTGAAGTCGTACTTGAATCTTGGTCTCCAGTGGTTTCTCTGTACTAAATAATACCTGCCAGTTTGCAAACATTTTTTGTTCTAATCAACAAAAATGGATAAATTCATAAAATTGACTGATGCTGTGGCAGAATTTGAGGCCGACTATAGTGACACGGCCCAAATTGACCACACAAAATATACCCTCACTCTTCAGCAAGAGGAACTTAAGGCAATATGGAGAGAAGTAAAAACAGCTTACGAAGAATTAGTGCATTCCGACACGTTAGACGCTAAAGGAGTCTCTACGGTTAAGCCTAGGTATAAGTGCTCCTATTCTGTTTATTTGCGCTGCATGTCGAACATGTCAGATTTCCAGGCAAAGTTAGTTAAGGGCGAAAAAGATACAGAGGGCGCGTCTGTCCAGGAACACAATATACATCTGCGATACGGACGTGTTCAAAGGCGACTACCTCTCTTGACCAGCATTCCGAGACATGTTTACGGCCATATATATACTGAATAAGCGCCTTACCCCGGTTGGAAATTATTCCACCTCAACCAAAAAACACAGGGGGAGGCCAAAGATATCGTCCAAAAATGCCCACTTACTAACGAGGGATTTGTCACTGCATGGAAAAATTTAACTGATAGGTACGAGAACAAACGTATTCTCATAAACTCCCAGTTACAAATTCTTTTTAATTTAAAGTCGGTAGAAATCGAGTGCGGAATCTCGATTAAGAAACTACAGCGAGATAAAAATAATTGCATCTCATCATTAAAAAGCCATAAAATTGACATATCAAACTGGGATGCAATATTTACTTATCTCTGCTCAACGAAGTTGCCAGAAAGTACCTTAGCATTGTGGGAACAAACGATCAAGAACAAGACGGAAATATCCAAGTGGGAGGATATGGACAAATTTCTGTCCAACAGATTCCAAACTCTTGAAACCGTCTCGGGCATAACAGATATTAAACATACCAAAACCCCAAAGCCCCACAATAGTAGGCATACAAATGAAACACCGCAAAAAAGACTTGGCGCATTTCAAGCTTCTGTAGCCAAAACCATGTGCAAATTCTGCAAAAGCAGTAACCACAAATTATCGAAATGCCACAAATTTCTCGAACTCACGGTGTCAAACAGAATAGCCTTCATTAAAGAAAATCATGGCTGCTTGAACTGCTTATCCTTTGGACATACTGTGTCAAGGTGTACATGCTCATTTAACTGCAGCACCTGTCACCAAAGGCACCACACGCTCCTGCATAATCAAGCAACTCAGCCAAAAGCAGCCATGAACCAAAGGCAACAACCAAATTTTTCAGATGATACGCCGTCAACTTCTGCGCAAGCTCAGGCCAGACGCAACTCTGAAAAAGGAAATAGAAGTCCGGTTAATAACGTTAAGTCCTGTTTTGCCAACACGAACAAGGGGGTCCTATTAGGAATGGCACGTGTCAATATCTTCTTCAATAATACTAATTTTTCAGCCCGTGCACTAATAGACTCCGGTTCGGAATTCTCATTCATAACAGAAAGACTTAAACGCCGAATTAACCTACCATCCAAACGTTTGAATGCTCAGGTGTCAGGCATCAACAACACCGTTTCAGCCCAAGTCAAAGAAGCGTGTTTAATACAGTTGCGGTCACCGATTGACCCTTTAATAATCATAGATAGCACTGTCCTGGTTCTACCACAGCTTACAGGAAATCTGCCGACTTGCCAAATCAATGCTATGACAAAGCAAGCGTTTCCGGATCTAGTATTAGCTGACAAGAAATTCTTCATAAATAAGCAAGTTGATCTTGTACTAGGCGGCGATATTTACGCCCAAATAATATTGAGTGGCATACAAGAGAATGTTTTAGGTACCCTGCTTGCGCAAGAGACTGTATTCGGCTGGATACTAACCGGTCAAACTGAGGCAACAGGGCCAACGAATAAATGCGTTTCATTCTTCAACGAAGTCACTCTAGATAAACAATTAGCGTCCTTTTGGGAATTAGAGGACATCCCAAAGAACCATAAATAAATATGTTTTTAATAGCGACATCGAAAAGATGTATCGCCAAAATTTACTTAATCCTACCGATACCGAGTATCAACGCACAGTTTTCCGCACAAGCTCAACAGAACCAATTAGTCTTTTTGAACTTAATACAGTAACTTTCGGGGTCAATTGCGCCTCTTACCTCGCGATTAGAACCCTGCTCCAATTAGCTGACGATGTAGAACAGTCACACCCCATGGTGTCGGACATATTAAGGAATTACATGTATGTTGACGATGTTTTAGCTGGCGGTCACACCATCGAAGCTGCTATCACAGCAAAAACCGAAATAACAAGTGCATTGCAGTCTGCTGGGTTCCCCTTGAGGAAATGGACGTCCAATTGCAATGAAATATTAAAGGGAATACCAAAATCCCATCTACTGAAAGAAGACTTCTTGGACTTTGAATACACTAGCACAGTCAAAGCTTTGGGTATCAGGTGGAATGCCCACTCTGATAATTTTTACTTTACGGCCAAACCAATAGAGGAACAGGTTAGCTATACTAAAAGACAAATACTATCGGCTATTGCCAAATTATTCGACCTTCTAGGATGGCTTGCACCAGTGGTAATTACAGCGAAAATTTTAATGCAGAATATATGGTTGGAAGGAACAGGGTGGGACGAAACCGTGTCACCTACGACCCAAGATCGCTGGAAAAATTTTAGGGAAAGCTACAGCAGTATCGAAAGAATTCGTATTCCGCGTTGGGTACACTTTTGCCCTGTGGCCAAGATCGAAATTCACGGATTTTGTGACGCCTCAGAGAAGGCATACGCAGCATCTATTTACTTGCGTGTCGAAATAAACAGCAAAGTGTTCATGAACCTGCTACTATCAAAAACTAGGGTAGCACCAGTTAAAACGATTTCCTTACCACGCCTAGAACTCTGTGGAGCGGTCCTACTGGCTGAAACTTTGGAATCGATTTCGGATAATCTGAACTTAGCCCATCTTACAACTCAGATGTGGACGGATTCGACCATCGTGCTCGCCTGGATACGCAAGCCTCCATGCTCATGGTCAACATTTGTAGCCCATCGAGTGACCAAAATAATTGAGAAGGTGGGAGGAGAAAACTGGCGTCATGTGGACTCAACGTCAAACCCCTCAGATTTAGCCAGCAGAGGACTTACGGCGCAAGAATTAATAAACAATTCCCTGTGGTGGGAGGGCCCTTCTTGGCTTCAAGAAGACCACTCAAAATGGCCCACTCAAGGAAAGGACTATAACACAACCGTTGAAGAAAAAAGGGTACAAGTTCATATAACAACAATGGATAGTAAGACTGATATTCTTGATAGGTTTTCTGAATTTCCAAGAGCTTTGAGAGTGCTATCATACGTAATGAGATTCTCCCAAAGAACCCGTCCAAATACCAAAGCTTCATTTCAAGCGAAATCTTGTTTGATTTCAGCTGATGAAATTAAAGCAACGACCCAACGCTTAGCACTAGTTTGCCAGAAGTAGCATTATGGTGAGGAATATTCAGCATTAGTATCAGGAAAATCAGTAGGTTCTAAAAGTGAAGTATTGGCCCTTACCCCATTCATCGACAAAGACGGTATAATTAGAACAGGTGGACGGCTGGGAGCATCTCGTGATCTCGCCTACAACGAGCGTCACCCAATCATCCTGCCTTATAATTGCACCTTGTCCCGTCTCATAGTTCAGTTTATTCACAAAGTTTCCCTGCATGGTGAGAATCAGCTCATGCTGCGCTTGATCCGAACACAGTACTGGATACCTAGAGTCAAAAACTTGATTAGGTCCACAATTCATAACTGTAAGGCCTGCACGATTTATCGCAAACGCGCGCAAGCTCAGTTAATGGGAATTCTTCCCAAGGAAAGAACGACATTTTCACGAGCGTTTACAAATGCGGGAGTCGATTTCGCAGGGCCATTTGACATTAAAAGTTATAGTGGCCGAGGTTGTCGCATGTCAAAGGGATATGTCTGCCTATTTGTATGCTTTGCAACAAAGGCAATCCATTTGGAAGCCACTTCGGACCTGAGCACACAGTCGTTTTTAGCAGCGTTTGCCAGGTTCATTGCACGACGAGGCTGTCCAAAAAATATCTATTCGGACAATGGCACCAATTTTGTGGGAGCTTCTAGAGCTCTGAGAGCCGAAAGAAAAGCCTTTTTAAAAGACGCCCGCGATAACACTTTGGCGAAATACGCTCACCAAATGCTTGCGTGGCACTTCATTCCCGCCTCAGCTCCCCACATGGGAGGACTGTGGGAAGCGGGAGTTAAAAGTTTTAAAAGCCACTTTACGTAAGTTGCTTCCAACCACAAATACACGTTTGAGGAATTTACAACCCTATTATGCAGAGTTGAATCATGTCTCAACTCTCGACCCCTGAGTCCCTCATCAAATCAACCAGGAGACCTGGAGCCACTGACTCCAGGCCACTTCTTAATCGGTGGACACATACTAGCTCCCCCAGAAATAGACGCTGATGAAAATCGTGCCTCGGTGGTAAATCGATGGCAGAGGCTCAAGGCTCTACACCACACGTTTTGCAAACGGTGGAAAAGTGAATATCTCACGGAATTGCAGAAACGCAACAAATGGAGATATCCGCAAGCCAATATGAAAATTGGAGACCTCGTAAAATTGTTTCAAGTTTTTATTGAGAAAAATTAGGCCCAATTCATCGGTAAATTATAATAAAAAATAACTAATAAATAAAAATTTATCACATATAGATGTGCTTTTTATTATTGTTCCTTTTATTTATTACACTGTGCAAGTTGAAAACATTGGCAAAGGCTTAGAAAGTTGATCTCACTTAATTGGGGCATTCTAAATTTTGTCAGATTGGCTCCAGTTTTCGAGATAACGATACTAGAGCATTTGCTTCAATTTTAACTTGTTTGTAAATAAATCAGCTTTAGTGTTGTTTTA